ATTCTGTTTCCAGTTGCATGCTTGCAAATGGAAATGGAAGGAAAAGGAGGATGGAGAGAAAGAAAAACAAGAATTGGGAAAGCTGATCAGAAAAGGATCTCGTAGCATCTTTGAGAGCAAGAAGTGGGTCGCATAGGATTTCCTAGACTTCAGTCTACTTCATGGGTGGGTTTTCATTTTTAGTCATCTTCCTGCCTGGTTTCCCCAATTTTGCAATTGCAAAAAGAAGGGAGAGATGTTTTCAACCCATTCAATTCTGAGCTTTGCACTCCAGCGCTTTCCTACTCTCTCTCTCTCAAGTTCACTTCTCTGTGGCACAACGTCCATTACAAAATATTACAAAAGCACTGCAAAAAAATTATAACAACACAACCAGCAGGCTTACCAGAAAAGTGTCTACAAAATACAAGGAGAATATAGGAATAAAGGTCAATTAAAATTACAGGGGGGGGGGGAAATGCCAGAGTAACAACAGGGCTGCAACAATTTTGCAGTCCACTGCTGATGTTCTTAGAAATTTGCAGCGGAAGTGTTTACCTAATAATAAAAATATAATAAGAGAAAACATTCTTCACCTCTGCAAAACAAAAGACACCCCAGGTATATACACACTCCACAAAGTGGAGAGGAAAATACTCAATAAGAATCAGTGGATTGAAAACAACTCTTGAGCAAAAAGAAATAATATGGGGGGGGGGATTATTTCACACACATACACACCCCATAGCAGCCCTATAGAAAGACTGGGAAGAGAAATAAGACCCATATGCATTATATCCCCCCCCCATGCATTCCTTTGCTTCTGCACTGTATATGGCTGCATCCAATGTATAAATTTGGGGTAGAAGGAGGGAATTAATAGCCGTCCCCCCCATTTTTATCCTTAATAGGGGTGTTATGGAAGGGGGCACGACAAGCCCCAACCCCAAACAGTTCTCCCTTGGACCCAATTTAGGCCGCCCAAAGGCTTAGGCCCTGACTAGGCCTCAGTCGGGGTTGCCATGGCAACCCCAGCAAAGGGGAACAACATCTCTGCCTCTCCTTCCAGCTTTATCCTTTCTCCGAAATATTTGGGGCCAGAAGTGGGTTTTTTTGGGGGGGGGGATTTGGGGTTGTTTTTCTCCCCTGGAATTTTGCAATTGTTTGCACAGACTTTATGAGATCTCTTGGTCAAAGATGGGAGCCAAGTCTTGACACAACATTCATTAATGTTTCGTCTATGTACACCTTCGTCTTCATCGTTTATTTACAACGATAGGCCAAAATATAAACTAAGATGTAAAATACAAAGATAT